ATAAACATGTCGCTCTGTATAATAATACTGAGTATCTATACGCTGATAATAAACATGTCGCTCTGTATAATAATAGTGAGCATCTATACGCTGATAATAAACATGTCGCTCTGTATAATAATACTGAGCATCTATACACTGATAATAAACATGTCGCTCTGTATAATAATACTGAGTATCTATACACTTATAATAAACATGTTGCTCTGTATAATAATACTGAGTGTCCATACGCTGATAATAAACATGTCGCTCTGTATAATAATACAGAGTATCTATACGCTAATAATCATGTAGCTATTTATAGTAATACAGAGTATCTATACACTGATAATAAACATGTCGCTCTGTATAATAATTCTGAGTATCTATACACTGATAGTAAACATGTCGCAGTATATAATAATACTGAGTATCTATTCACTGATAATACACATGCCGCTCTGTATAATAATACAGAGTATCTATACACTGATAATACACATGCCGCACTATATAATAATACTGAGTATCTATACACTGATAATAAACATGCCGCTCTGTATAATAATACTGAGTATCTATACACTGATAATAAACATGTCGCTCTGTATAATGTTACCGAGTAACTGTGCATTGTGCAAAGCTCCCTTCGAGGGAACTGCTGGTATACACAACAGTAGCCACATATTAATGTAGTCACTATTCCATTGATGTCCTCTTTTTGGCAACCCCCCTCAACTTTTAAATGTAAAAAACAACCAAAAATGTTTTTAACAGGACCGGCCTGTTTTTGCAATGTTGTATGTTAAGGACCAGAGCAGTTTTGACACTTTTGTGGTGTTTGTGTTTAGCTGTAATTTTCCTCTCTCTCTTTTTTTTTTTTATATCTTTTTATTATCAGATTTTTCACCATAAATACATTGTACAAAAAAAGTATTAAAAAAACATTCATCCACATAAAAACAGACATAGAGAGGACAAAAACCAAAAAAACTATCCACCACCCCACGAGAGTTCTACTGACTTCCAACTTTTCTATCTTTTTCAAATGATATTACTTTTACAATTGTAATAATTTTTTCTCCCAATTTTCCCATAGGCTCAAATCATCATTCAGAAGCTTGCAATGATCCTTCTCCATTTTAAGTTGGTAAACCAACTGAATTGTTATTAATTTGATGTTAAAAGGGGTATCTCCCTTCCAATTTCTTGCTATTATTATTTTACAAGCCATTAGACAATGGATAATTGAAAAGTTATTTATTTTATTCAATTTCGGCCATTTATAATGTAATAACATTACTTCATGTTCATTTTGACATTGCACAGTGTATGAATGATAAATTGATCCCACTGCCATACAACAATCACTTGCTTACATGACCACCACATATGGATATAGTTTCCTTTTTCCTCTCTACATTTCCAACACTTAGTGTCCCTAGATACATCAAATTTAGCTATTTTTGTTGGCGTCATATACCATTGGTTAACCAACTTAAAATGTGTTTCTATCAATACAAAGGAGTGGATATATTTATTGATTTTTTGTGCCATAGATAGCCATTCAGATAATTCTATATTTGTTTTTAATTCAGTATTCCATTTTTAAATAACACTGGGCGGGGCGGAATCATCCATTAGATCCAACATTCTAACACATCTACAGAACAGTTGCTTTGTCTTATTCTGGTATAAGATTGTTTTTAGAATATCGTACATCTTACCCTCTTTTACTAACTCAACTTTCTCCAAGTAGTGTTTTACTCTAAAATAAGTATATATATCTTTATCAGAGATCCTAAACTCCTCAACCAACATTTTATAAGATTTGATTTTATTTTCTTTAATCAGATCTTCTAAAATATTTATTCCTTTTTCTTTCCATAGTTTTAAGGAGATACTCTCCATATTTAATTCTATTATTTCTAAGTTTTGAAAGTCAAATTTCTTATTTACCAGATCAATTGTTTTCCTTATTTTTTGCCATATAGGAGTAATCTGTCCTAAGATGTACGATCTGGATAAATTACATTTTTTTGTACTCCAGAATAATTCTAAGGTGTCTCTTAATTGACTAGAATCTAGTTCTGACCACCACCATACCTCTTTATTTTGTTTTATTTGACTAGCCATAACATGCGTAATAATTCCTGCTTCATAATATTTTCTTATATTTGGATATCCTAGACCTCCCTTCTTTATTCCTCTTACTAGTACTCCATTTTTAACTCTAGGTTTTTCCCTCGCCATACAAAATCAGAAAAGGCCTTATTGATCATTGTCAGCCATGCATTCGGGATTTCTAATGGAAGCATTCTAAACATGTAGATCCATTTTGGTAAAACATATGATTTCAGAATATTTATTCTTCCTCCCCAAGATACTTCTAATTTTCTCCATTCTTTCAAATTCTTATTAGTTTCTTTCAGGAGATCCATAAAATGTATTTGCATGATACTTTCTACCTTTCTACAAATTTTAATTCCCAAATATAAAAACATTTTAGCTTTGATAAAGCCATATGTTTCTTGATAGGAATTTATTTCTTACTTTGACATATTAATATATATGGCAATTGATTTTGTTTTATTTAATTTATAATTTGATACTGCACTATATATATCAATTTCTGACATTGCATTTAATATTGATATTGATGAATTCAAAAAAAGAATAGTATCATCAGCATAGAGAGATATTTTCAGTTTTTTCTGATTTGCTATAAATCCCTTAATGTTTTCATTATTTCTGATTCTGTTAGCTAGAACCTCTAGTGTTAATATAAACAATAAAGGGGATAAAGGACAACCTTGTCTGGTCCCGTTGTTCAATTTGTACCAGTCTGAACATATACCAGGGCCAATAGTTCTCGCCTTTGGATCTTTGTATAAAGCTAAAATTGCGTTAAGCAACCAACCCTGTATACCTAGTTCCTCTAGAGTAAACTTCATAAAATCCCATCTGACCCTGTCAAAGGCTTTTTCAGTGTCTAAAGACAGGATCAGCATGGGATTTTTCTCCTTTTGTGAGATATCTAGTGCATCTATCAAGCATCTCATATTATTGCTTGACATCCTATCTGGAACAAAACCTGTTTGATCAGGATGGATTAATTGTTTAATAACTTCTTTTAATCTGCTAGCTATAATAGAAGAAAATATCTTAATATCTATATTTATTAGTGATATTGGGCGATAACTCTGTACTCTAGTTGGATCTTTCCCTGGTTTCAATATAGGTAAAATATTTGCTTTAAGCATTTCCTCTGGGAATCTGCCCTTTTTAACTGCAGAATTAAAAGTATTTTTTAAATGATCTATCAAGTGAGGTTTCATAGTTTTATAGAATTTATTTCCAAATCCGTCCGGACCTGGCGTTTTATAAGTTTCTAATCTATCTATTATTATATTGATCTCTTCTTCCCTAATCTCTTTATTTAGATAATTTACCTGTGTTTCTGTTATTTTATTCAGTTTTGCTGATTTAATATATTTTTTTATTATTTCTGATGGGGTAGTTACTGAGAGACTATATAAATTAGCATAGTACTCATTAAATGCTTTCCCTATCTGTTCTGGAAGAAGGGAGATGGTGTCATTAGTTATTATTTTATCAACCTTATTGGTCATATTTTTTTTTTCAGCATATTGGACATTATTTTATCAGCTCTATTAGATTTATGATAATATTTGACTTTAAGTTTGAACATATTTTTTTTTTATTTTTTCATAAGTTTTTTCCTGAATTTCAGATTTAATTTTCTCTATTTTTAACTGAGTGTCCTTAGTTGGGTTATCGTTATTATTTTTATTTAACTTATATAATTCAATATAGAGATCTTGTATCTTTGCACCTTCTTTTTTTTTCTTAAGTTTATTGAGCATTATACAGTGTCCCCTTATTACTGCTTTAAATGAACACCATAAAATATCATTCTCCACTAATCCATTATTATTCTCTTCAAAATAACAGTCATTTTATCTATATAGTCTTTATGTTCCTTACTTAATAATAATGATTCATCTAACCTCCAAGTTATATTCTTGTTGTTCTTTAATCTATTACTATTTAGTTCCAGGCACACACTATCATGATCTGACCATATTACTGGTTTAATTTCTATTTTAACTGTTTTTTCTATTAATTTTAAATCTCCAAATATAAGGTCTATTCGCGAGTATGAATTATGAGGCCAGGAGTAGAACGTAAATTCTTTCACTGCAGGATTGTTAAGTCTCCATATATCAAATAGACGTTCTCTTTTCATCAAGTTATTAAAAATCCTTGCGTTCTTTAAAACTTGCTTGTCCCAAATAGGTTGTTTTTCTGAGAACTTATCTAGTAGGGGATCTTGTATACTATTAAAATCCCCTGCATATATCTTTAATCCTACTCCTACATTCTCAACCTTATTTAATACTTTTCTCAATAGACCTATAGGATTTTTATTAGGCAGATAAACATTAATTAGAGTGAAGAGTTCCTCATTAATTGTGGCTATTAATATGATAAATCTTCCCTCCAAATCTATTTCCATAAATTTTATATTTATTTTTAAATCTTTTGCGAAAAATATTGCAACTCCTCCCTTTTTCCCCTCCTCTCTAGAGGAACAGATTTTTTTTTTTAAATTTAAAATTTTTATTTTCAAAAAAAGGAAATGAGGGTACAGAAAAAAGAGAGGGAGGGGGGAGAGACCTCTCGGTCAAGACATCTTGTTCCTCGTTTTGTAGCATACATTCGTTCGGTATTGATACATATACAGAGTGAGGTTGACATGGATGAATGAATATACCACATTGAGAGCGAAACATTCAGTAAACTGTTTACAATTGTGTATCTTTAGACATTTACGCCATTATAAATAGTCATACATACAAGTATACATCTTCCTATTTGGATATTGCGTATCCCTAGTCTGGGTCATATGGTATCGTCTCTTTCGGTGTATGTGGGATGTTTCTTTAGGGATGTTTCGTCCTGTCTAGTCAGCTTTCCGCATTGGTCTAGTTAGGTTATAGTGGATGGTGATGTATTAGTGATAGCCATGGTTCCCACAGCTGTTCCGTGAGCCGTGTTTTTGCATGGGAATCTGAGGAAAGTACTTCATATCTATAAAATTGGTATATTTTGTTCAGTAGTTCTCTGTGTGTTGGGCAATATGTGCTCCGCCAATGTAGAGCAATGAGGTTTCTAGCCGCTAATATGATAGTGGAGGCCAGTTTCTTGGCTCCTTTTTTCCATGTGGGTGGAAAGAGCAATAGGATCACCACCATTGGTGTGAGGTCAACCGTGTAACCTAATGTTTTTCCCAATAGTTGTTGTACCTGTGACCACAGGGGTTTGATCCCGCTACATTCCCACCAGATGTGGGTCATGGTCCCTTCCCTTGAGCCGCATCTCCAACATTTGGAGTCCATTGTGGGGTATATTTGATGTAGTCTTTGCGGGGTAAGGTACCACCGGTATATCACTTTTTTGTGTGCCTCTACATGAGAGAAGCAGGATGTGAGGCCTTTTAGGGCATTCAATGACTGGAGCCATTGGTTATCAGTGAGTTCGGGCATATCCTCTTTCCCCCATTGTTTTACATAGTTAAAAGCATGTGGTGGTGTATGGCCTAGAAGGGTCTTATAACATAGGGATAGTGACTTGGGTTTTGTCGGTGCCGACATGCATCTTGTAATGATAGTCAATGTGTGGGTCCCTTGTAGTGGAGTTGTCGGGAGTTTCAGTGTCACCTTGGTGTGCACAATGCTCTTTAGTTGTATGAATTGGAACATAAAGGAGTTGGGTATCTTGTAGTTGGCTTGTAGTGTAGGGAAGGCCATGAGTTCAGTTTGGGAGCAGAGGTCTTTAATATGTTTAACACCATACGTAGCCCAGGAGTTTAGTGACAACCAATCTGACACTCCCTCCAGCGCCCCTAACGGGGCATATACACAGAATTTCCCTTTCTCAGATATGGTGGTTAAAAATTTGTCCTATATATGCATAGTCAATCTAGTGGTGGGGTATAATGGGAGTTTCTTTGGCCTGTAAATTCTGGGGGACCATAGTATGTTTAGCATGAGGTGCGGAGAGAACTTTTCCTGTTCCATGTCGACCCACTGAAATGCGTTTCTGGGGGCATGGATACGAATTGCGGATTCGAGGATGGAAGCTTCATAGTAAGTAGCTAGTTTTGGGAGGCCGAGACTGCCCATCGTTTGTGGGAGTTGGAGTAAGGCTTGAGGTAGTCTGGCTTTTGTTTTATTCCAGACAAATCTATTTAAGGTTGTTTGTAGGGTTTTTAGTTCGTGTGGTGGGATGTTGAGGGGTAACATTCGGAATACATAAAGGATTTTGGGTAGTAGCACCATTTTAATAGTGTTGAGTCTACCCAACCACGACAGGTGGATGTGTTTCCATGTTTGGAAGTGTGAGGTGCAGGTATGTTGCAGGGGTCTATAGTTAAGAGATACCATTTTTGAGGCATGTAAAGCTAGCTTCACCCCTAAATATGTGATGTGCTTTTGTCTCCAATCGAAGTTGAAGGCCTGACGTAATGTATTTATCTGCGCCATGGACATATGTATCGGTAGGGCTTGTGTTTTATTGCTGTTGAGCTTGTAGTATGATATAGAACCATAATCTTGTTGTAAATCCATTAAGCGGGGTAAAGAAACGTCTGGTATGCTAAGGGAGAGCAAGATATCGTCTGCAAACATTGACAGTCGATAATTGGATTGTCCTATGTGTATGCCTGTAATGAGAGGGTCTTGTCGGATTTTGTGGGCTAGAGGTTCTAATGCAAGGATGAAAAGGAGAGGGGATAGGGGGCACCCCTGTCTGGTTCCATTAGTTAGGCCGAGTGGAGAGGAAATGAATCCAGATTGGTATACTTGAGCAGTAGGGTTTTTATATAACGTCATAATCCCTTGGATAAGCTGTGGTGGGAGGCCGAATTTCGTTAGTACTGATGTCATATACGCCCAATTCAGCCTATCAAAAGCCTTTTCAGCGTCTAATGCTAGAAGCAGGCATTCCGTACTCTCTGATTCTACATGGGATAGTATGTTGAGTATTTTCCTAGTGTTGTCGGAGCCCTGTCTCTCTTTTATGAAGCCTGATTGATCATTGTGTACTATTTGTGGCAAAATGGGGGCTAATCTGTTGGCCAACAGCTTGGCATATATTTTGGCGTCACAATTCAGGAGGGATATGGGCCTAAAGTTGGAACAGTGGGTCGGGGGTTTTCCCGGTTTGGGGAGTGTAGTTATGTGGGCTTGGAGCATAGCTGCGGGCATAGCTCCTGTTTGAAAAGAGCGGTTAAATAAAGTGGCCATGTGGGGTGCCAAAATGTCTTTGAAGGTATGGTAATATAGGTTTGTGAACCCGTCTGGCCCGGGTAATTTGTGTTTCGGCAATTGTTTGATGGTATCTATAATTTCTTGTATTGTAAATGGTTGTGTCAATTTATGACAATCTTCCGGGGTAATGGATGGTAGTTGTACGTCATTTAGGAAAGCATCTATGTCTTTTTGACTAGGTGTGGGAATTCCATTTTCGCCAGCTAAGTTATATAAACTACTGTAGTACTTGCCAAACTCTTCCACCACTTCTTGTGGATCGGTAATCTTGTGTCCTTCTTTAGTGAGTATATAAGCTATCTTGGAGGATGTAGTTTTTGTTTGGAGGTGGGCAGCTAAAATTTTTCCTGCTCTATTCCCTTCTGCAAAGAATTTATGTTTCATTCTAGTCAGTAAGTAAGTAGCTTTGGCTAGTTCCAAATCTTTTAGTGTAGCCTGTAGGTGGAGAATTCGTTTCGTGGTACTATGTGATGGTGAACGCTTGTTTGTGCGAGTGAGAATGGCAAGTTCCGTATGTATGTCTGTATATGCTTTCGTGCGTTGTCTCTTGTTAAAGCTGGCGTGTTTAATGCATTGGCCTCGGAGGACTGCTTTATGCGCTTGCCAAAGCGTCTCCACTCCTACTTTTTCTGTGTTATTAATAATAAAATAGGATTTTAAATCTTCTGTGAGTTGTGAGACTAGTTTGTGGTCATTGAGGAGGGTATCATTAAGTCGCCATGTGCGGTTGCCATTGGTAGGGTGCGTTGTGTTTATTGAAATCGTTATAGGTGCGTGATCTGACCATGTTATCATGCCTATATCTGTTTTGGAAATTCGTGATATGTGCGTTGATGGAATTAAGAAGCGGTCGATCCGGGAGTACGTATCGTGTACTAGGGAGTGGTGTGTATAGTCTCTTTCTAAGGGATGAAGAGTCCTCCATATGTCAGTGTAGCCATGAGCATTGAGAGTGTTATCGATAAGGGTCGTAGCTCGTGTTCTACGTTGTAATGTATTTCGTGAGACTGTCGTGGTCGAAGTGGAATCTAGATTTGGGTCTATAAGGAAATTGGTGTCTCCCCCTATTAGTATTTCTCCAAATTTGTGCGCCTGTGTTAGAGTGAGGATATGATCTAGGAAGGTGTGTTGGTCAGTGTGCGGGCTATAAATATTGACCAGTGTGTAGTGAGCATTGTTGATGATGCATTGCAAGAGGAGGTAGCGTCCTTTTTTATCGCTTATCTTTTTTATGAATTGGAATGCTACATCTTTACTGATCAATATTGTAACCCCTCTTTTTTTTTCTTGTAAGTGCTGTGGTATCCTACCGGATAGTTTCTGGATGAGAATTTGGGGTGGCTTGCAGTTTGGAAGTGGGTTTCTTGGAAGAAAGCAACATGTGCTTTGTGTTTTTTTGCTTCCAACAACGCCATGCGCCGTTTATGGGGTGAGTTAAGTCCCTTAGTGTTTATAGAAAGTACGTTAAGTGTCATGACAAGGGATTTCTAATTTGTGTATACGTTGCTGAGTTATCAGCACAGATATTTTGCATAGCCAAGTAATAGTGCGTGCCTTGAGTCATCCGACCCTTGGTAATGACCATTTAGGCGGTGTTGTATGTTCGATTAGGCAGTAGATTTGTGGTATGGTCATGGGCATGTCTCGGTGGTGGTTAGATATCTTGTCGAGAGGTGGAGGGGGATTAGGGGTAAAACATACAACATATATCAAACTATATACAAAGAAAAGGTCTCTATGGTGAGACCTAGGGTTTGCCATTTTCGTCGGGCACTGAAGCCCCTGTGGGGGGGAGAGTCCCAGAAATCTGATAAGGGTGAGTTATTGGTGTATGGGGTGGTAGAGGGTAAAATAGACTCCCTGGCCATATATAGGGATGTGAAGACCGGATTTCCCTGGTATAGTATCTAGCTGTCCGTGTATATAAATACTCATAGAGAACCTGGTCATTCCATCTTGGGATGTGCAAGTCGTATCTCATAGAGCCAAAGTATACAGGTCAATAAATACGGCATTCACTGTTCATTTCTATCTCTATGCTAGCGTTCGGTCACCACATCTTAAGCTATCTCAGATAATGTGCCAATGAAAGATGTTGTCTTTATGTAAAGGATGGGGACGGTGGTGTATATACAGGGGAGTCATATGTTTTACTCAAGCATATAAAAGAGGGGAAAATATAACCTTGGTAGGGTCAACACCTTCGTCACATCTCAGTGCCTGCCTCGGAACGTTAAGGTATGTCCCAAGTTGTATCTCCAGCCCTGAGGGGTGTTGAGATAGCGTGGAGAGTTGCTATGGACCGCTGCACCGAGGGAGTGGTACCGGGTTAGGTAATGAATGTAGTGAGTGCTACATCCTAGGTAGTATTATGGTGTTGGCGTAGCTTGGAGGGACAGCTGATGTTAATGTTTGTCATGTTCTGTGGTGTATCCTTTCCCTCTTTAGGCAAACGCCGGCAGGTGGAGTAGTGTCGTTTATGTGGTATGGGTTGTGTGACCATGATGAGTCACGGTGAGCGGGTCGCTAGAGTAGTTACTCAGCGCTACGGGTCCGGGGACAGTGGGGAGTTTGAGTTGGGTGAGGCAGATACAGTACACTGATGTGGCATTGTGGTGACCGCCAGAGGGGTCTATGCACCCACTGGGATTAATGGAACATCGTGTTATAACTACATTAAGTAATATTAATCAGACATAACAAAATTTGAGCAAACTACGACTAAAGAACATTGAACAAACCGTTTCCGATTGGGTGGCCTATCGGTGGCACGTAGTGCCGTGAAGTCCATGCACCTGTTTCCTTTTTTTTTTTTTTTTATAGTAAGGTGCAGGTATTCAGTCAGTTAACTTAGTCCTATAATAATAACATGTATATGGTTTCACTTAGCTGTGGCCTTTGTGTGCCAATCGTGCGTGAGTCTCTTCGGTGATACAGCAGCTTTCTGCCCGGCAGGGGTGGCTTGGTTGCTGACATCCAAAGGAATATTCCATTCCTCCAGGGTCTTCTTACCGTCCTCTGGGGTAAGAATGTGTTTCTCGATGCCATTACGTCGGAGTATGAGGCGAGCTGGGAAGCCCCATTTGTATGGGATATCTGCCGTCCTCAAGGCTTTGGTAATTGGCAGAAAGCTTTTCCTTGCTGCTAATGTAGCTGCTGAGAGGTCGGTGAACAGCTGAACTTTGCTGTAGGCGTCTGGTAGGGTCGGTTGTTTTCTGGATGCCTGCATTATAGCTTCCTTGGTAGTATAGTAATGGACTCTGGTTATAGTGTCCCTCGGGATGGACGCCGGGAGGTGTTTCGGTTTAGGCAATCGGTGCGTTCTGTCAAGTAGTAGGGCTTCCTCTGGGATGTCCGGGGCTAGAAGATGGAAGAATGTTTTGACGTGGGTGCCCAGGTTGTTTGGGGTGATCTCTTCTGGGATGCCGCGTATGCGAATGTTGTTTCGCCTGTCCCTGTCTTCATGGTCGGCTAGTTTT